ATCACCATCACTGTCACCGTCACCGTCACCATTACTGTCACTGTCACCATCACCGTCAATGCTATCATCACAGTCACCACACCATCACACCACACCATCACCGCCACTGTCACCGCCCCCCAAGGACGCAGACGAGTACAGCAGGTCACTGCGAGGAGGCTGCGGGGCGGGCAGAGCCGCCGGGTCTCACCTGCAGACTCGATGGCCATCCGCATCTCGTAGGCACTCATGCTGCCCGACTTGTCCAGGTCAAACTTCCGGAAGATGGCCTGGGGGTGGGGAGCAGGGCGTGAGGCCAGGAGGCGGGGCCAGCCCTTCAGGATGCCCCAGGTAGGGGGCAGGAGGACCCCAAGCCTGGGCTGCTGGCCAGCCCGCCCAGGGAGACAGAGTCTGCAGTGGCGAAGGGCCACGTACCAGGTAGTTCCGGATACGGTTCCATAGGATGTTGAACTCCACCAGGCCCAGCTTCCCGTTCCCATCACGCTGGGGGCCGTTAAGAAAGCAACCAGTGGAGGAGGGAGACTGGCCTGGCTGCAGAGAGAGCTAGACCCCTCAGAGGGGAGGGAGGAGCCACGGAGCCCTGGTGGTCAGCCCACAGCCAGGCTGCTCGGTCTCTCAGTCAGGGCGGGCCAGAAAAGGGTGCAGGAAGAGCCCCCAACCTAAGGGCCACCCAAGAGCCTAGTCCAGGCTCCCCTTACACTTGGGGTAAAGCCTGTGCCTCAGTTTCCCCCTCCCAATCAGTGGCAGGTGCCCAGGAAGGCATCCGAACGCCCACATGCCACCCAGCTCTGTCCTCGTCCCTGCGGCCCCGGGGAGAGCAGTCCCCACTTGGAGACGATGAGGATACGTCCATGAGGTTCACCATGCTGCGGCACGATTCCAGACTGAAGCCCTTTGTCCTGAGGTCTTTGTCTGCAAGAAAAACCAGTGCTGGCAACTCAGCCTGGGGCGCCCAGTGCTGCCACAGGCGGGGAGGTCAATGAGGAGGACACCAGCCAGCAGCCAGCCGGTGTGCCCGCTGGCTTGTAGCCTCACAACAGTGTGGCGTATTTCATCCATCGACCCCAGCCGAGCAGACCCCAGGGAAAGGGAGCCCTGTGCTCCTGCAAAGGAAAGGACGGGGGTGGGGAGAAGCAAAAAGCATAGTGGGGGGCCAGGGTGGGGGCGAGGAATGGTGGGTGTTGTCAGCTGTGAGGGTGAGGGGACTTCATGGGTAGAGGGCTGAGGAAAGCCAGGAGCTGTGGGCTTCAGGTGCACCTGGGGGCCGTTGGGGGGAGGGGAGCCAGGTGAGCCACAGGCCTGGCCTGGAGTGCCCTCTTCTGGATGGAAAACCCAGCTCACTCCCTGCTGTGGAATGGATGCGGACTCTCAGGGACTCCAGAGGGATAGATAGGATACAACTGCCCTGTGGGTTTTCCGAGACTGTGTGTGTGTGTGTGTTGTGTACACGTGTTTGAACCTGTCACTAAAGATTAAATCCATTTCAATTTTTCTTTTCCTCCTCTTTTTTAGCCACTCAGACCATCATTCAGTTTTGAGGATAAGGAATCTGGAGGGATTTCTGTTTGTCTAAATAAACGTATGATCTATATGTACACAGCCCACCTCAAGAAGAGAAATCGATCACAACACTCCTGCGAAAGCCTCCAGACATGTGGTTCTTCACACCCTGCGCCTCACCCCTCCCCTCTCCCTGTCCCTGCTCCCGTGTCTAGCTTCCTCATGGTCATCCCGTGGAGCAACTGGTGGTTTTCCTCATGGTCATCCTGTGGAGCAACTGGTGGTTTTGAACGGCTGACCTTGTGGTTAGCCGCCCAATGCATAATCACTGTACGACCAGGACACCCTTTGCGTGTAGAAAGGTGCTGTCCGCTAGTTGAGCCTTGAGCAGACAGGGCGGTGCTACTCAGAGGAAGGCTAGCCCCCATCACGGCCTGGGCCCACGCTCAGGCTGGGAGAAGAGGGTTAGGGATGGGAATGGGGGTGAGCAGGGCTCCAAAAGGCAGCCCAGGGCAGGGGCTTCGGCTGTAGTGAGGGGAGGAGGGAATGGGTGCCCTGGGAACTCACGTTTGCTGATGATCCTGTTGAGGATGGTCCGCAGCTCCTTGACGCTGATCTCCAAGTCCTAGGGAGGAGGGACCATAGCACCGGCCCCGGGAACAAGGGCCTTCCCTCAGGGACCTGGCTGCCCCCACCCCCACCCCCCACAGTGCACCTACCTCCCCAGCCAGCTGCCTGAAGAGGGCCTTGAAGCTCTCGTCAATCTCCTCTTCGGAGAGCACTTGCTGGACCGAGAAGGGCGGAGGACACATGAGGGGCGCCCCAGCCCCGCCCCTGTGTGGGCCCCGGCTGGAGGGAAGGCTGGGCTCCAGAGGGACTCCACATCCCTTCCCATCTGAGCCTGCTTCTTCTGGTCTCTATGACTCGGATCCAGTCCCTGCCCTGACCCCCACCCCAAACCAAGACTCCTGGGGTCTACGTGAGCAGGTGCAGGCATGGGGGAGGCTTAGGGTTCTTGCTGTGCCACTCTGAGCAGGTTCCTTGACCTTTCTGAACTCCCACTTCCCTTTGGTGCAGGCAGCTGGGGACAGCACCCAACAGGGCTGCCCTGGGCAGGAAGGGGATGGTATGGGAAAGTGTTGGCACAGACTGGCATTGTGTGCCCGGTTAGGGTACTGCCCACCACCAAACCCAAAGTCCTTTGTAAACTGCCCCGGGCCAGGCTAAGGACCGGCCATGGAGCCCATTCCAACTCCTGGCGCCCCCACGTGTGTCAGGACAGAACTGCACTCCACGCCACTCTCTGGGGCTGATGTGTCAGGAGACTGCCAGCCCTTTCTTGCAAGGTGCCTTGTAGCCAAGGACATGACCTTTGCCTCCATAATAGTGCAATCCCTATGACTCCTCCCAGCCGCGCCAGGGGGCAGGACACCTGGGGCCGT